CTTAACCCTTGACTTAGTGTTGTCAGCACCACGCTCACCCAGTGAGTTAACCGGCCATCCCATATGGGATCTGAACACGGGGCCTTGGTGTTATCAGCACCGCACTCTCCCGGATAAGCCACGGGCCGGCCCAGGTTTTTGAACACAGGAGCCAGGCAGGCAAGTTTAAATGGGGGGGGGGGTCTGATCAATTAGAGATCACTATGAGAAGTTCAAGAATGTGATCACAGTGTTGCATTTTCTTTCATTTTTAAGAAAAGCTAGAAAGTTGCATTTTGTGTGAAATCTTCCAACTTAAAAATATTGGTTGGAGTGCTAGCTGGTTCGCTCAGGTGATCAGAGTGCAGTGTTATAACACCAAGGTTGAGGATTTGGATCCCCATACTGGCCAGCCACCAAAAAATAAATAAAGTAAAAATATTGGTTGGATATACATAGGGAAAATGAGTCAAAGTATGTGCAGGTTTGCAAATTAGTGGTGGTTGTGAGGACTAGAGCACACATTTGAGGTCTTAAATTTTTTTTAAAAAGTCAAACCTCCTTCTGTCTCTTAGGAACCAGCAATGAGTCTTAACAATTGTATAACTGTAACTTTTATAAAATATTTAGGGAAATATTTGTATATTACTTCAACTCTGGCTACACATTAGAATCACCTGGAGAGTTTAAATGGATACCTGGGCCCAACTCCAGTGCTGTAAAGTGCAGCAAATTGGGTGGGGCCCAGGCCTCCAGGTGATTCTAATCCACAGCCAGGCTTGGGAGAAAAGAACCTTCTCCCAGCCAACCTCAGGAACGTACTTAACTTGCTAGATCTGTTTTCTTGTATTTACAGAGGGTAGGTCATACCTCTCAAGGTTAAGACTTAAAACAAGTCAGGAGATGGAAAACCTGGGATGAAGCTAGCTTTAAGGAGTAACATTGACAGGTGAGAATAACAGATCTGAGCTAATATATAAATAGGGTATGTAATGGGCTGAATTGTGTCTCCCAGCCCCTAAATTCATATATTGAAGTCCTGTACTTCAGCATGTGACTATAGTTGGAGATAGGGCCATTAAAGAGATAATTCGGGGGCCGGCCCGGT